AACAGTTTCAATGAACTAATGTATCTGGGTTTTCCTCCTTATTCTCATGTGAGAGATATATTGTTATTTCCAAATAAAATTCCATACTACATTATTATGTAGTTCTTATTATACGTACTAACATTCAAGGAAAATATTGCAAAAGTATACTTTAGGAAATGTTAGTATTGGGGGATAATATTAATAATGGATTATTAAAAATACATTTTAAATTATTTTTCTCTAGCAAACCTACTGAATATTACCTAGAGTCATGAAAGTTGCTAGATAAATGTGAGCAATCTTGAAGTTTTTAACAGGATGATGAGTAAAGCTTGAACCACAGGAAATATACGACAGCAACAACAACAAATGCTGTTACAACTGCAGTCCTTGAATCTCCTTAATTTGTTTGGGCCACTCCACAGTGGTCAGTTCATCTAACTAGTTTTCTTTGTTAACACTTCATTTTTATAACATCGGATGCTTCTCTTTCCATACAATATGACTAAGATATTTTGTAAATTTTATAATACTATAAGTTAGCACTGGGATTCAAATCGTTGAATAACTCATTTGCTACCCTAAAGACTGTTTTAATTATTAAAAAATGATATACTAAAAGGTAGTTTATTATTTCATACACTTAATATATAAAATAGTATAAAGTCAAATAGTGTAACATAAAAGAGGTACAGTAAACTAGACTATGATATAAGAAAGAGTTGTTAAATATGCATGAGGAAACATTCAATAATACCTGACCCCAAGCAATAAAGCTATTATTTAAGGTATTTCCATAATGCGTCTTGATTGGTGCCCTCAATTGAAATATTCTTTGTTTTGATGTGACCATCATCAGCTGTGTGACTTATCCTTAACTGCCTTCTCATTGTAGGACAGGAGAATCCTGTTCCTTGAGAGCTAGGTCAGTTAGATAATATTCATTGCTTGATATATTAGAAACAGCCAACCTATCTTCTCTGAACATATTATGTGCATCTTTGAAAAATCCCATTCCATTTCTGCTAAGATTACAGCCATTTTTCTGACAATATTTTTAGCTCTTTGAACACTTTCCAGACTGCAAAATTCACTCATGATATCGTCGGCATTTGGGACCTCACACAAAGCTGAAACAAATGACAGCATGTCACTTGCGGGCTCTTTTGGCACGTTTTCTCTTTAGGCTATTATTTTCTACTTAACTGAAGTCACAAACACAGGGAAATAAAAATGTAGTATCAAAACTATAACAATGATTTAATGAAATAAATATACAAGCATAGTTCCAACTAATTTTTAGTACCTAAGAACATCGGTACAGGTGTTTAGAATGTGCTGATTCCCAAATGTTAAAAATGAGTAAGGAATGTAAATTTGCGATTTCTACATTGGATGGCTGCCCAGCTTCCCAGCTTTGAAAGAACCCTGATTACAAATGCCATTTTGACAACAGGTTCGCCAAACTCAACAAAACATTAGCTATCGGTTTTGCTGAACTGGTGTGAACCAGCTGAATCCCACCACTGCACAAAGTACATCTCTTTCCAGATTTGTTTTGTCCTGATGATAAAGTCAAGGCAATTGACTCAAACACTGCAAATGCTTCAATTTCAACTCATAGCTGCCCCTATAGGGGGCTGTCCAAATATTCTTATTTTACCTTCAATAGTTTTTTCCCCCCTCTGATATAGTTTAATTCATCAATATCAACATTTTACAAATTACATCATAGATGTATGTTAACCAGAGTTTTGATTGCTTTGTTTAATTTTACTGTTTTTCCCAAGCAATATGAAAATAATATCACAGTTTGACATATTAAATATTATTACACATTTAAATGTAAGTGCCCCTGAAAGTCATCTTGCATATCTTGAGTAGAATGTCTGCACCACACTGGAAAATACTAACACGAAAAAGTCCTGCCATACTGCACTAACATCACCCGTAACCAGTGAATCAATTCCAATCCACGATAGTCCAGGTGAGCAGAATAAAATTGCCTCCAGTGACTGATTTTTTCCCCCCACACTAGGTAAATAGGGCTTACTTCCAAGGTGTATTTAATTGGACTTCAATGTTCAGTCTTTCAGTTAGCAGCCTAGTGCATTAATCATTTATACCACCAAGGGACTTTGACAATAACATTTTTTTTCAAGCCTCAAACCCTTTGCCTTTGAACTTATTCCAACTCCTAGTGACCATACAGGACAGGGTAGAATTATCTCATAAGGTTTCCAATATTGTAAATCTTACATAAGCAGATTGCCACCTCTTTCTCCCATAGAGCAGCTGGTGAACTCAACAGCCAACCTTTTGGTTAGTATCCAAGAAATTAATCATTGCATGACTAGGTCTCTTTATGACAATAATATATCTCATTGCACATGAGGTGTGAGAATCAGGGTAAGGAAAAATAAAGATAACTCTCCCTTCTATCAAATGCATGCAAAAATAATCAAACTTTTTGAGAAGCCAGAATTAAACCCATCTACTTATGAACAAATGATCTTCAACAAAAGGACCACAACCTATTAAATGAAGGAAGAATGATCTTGTTGGCGATAGTGCTGACAAAACTCAATATCCATATGCAGACAAATAAAGTGCAATCCACATCTCACACCACATACAAATACTAACTCAAGATGGATTTAAAAACCTAAATGTAAAGCTTGAACCTATAAGGATCATCAAAGAAAAAGTAGAGGCAAACTGAGGGACCCTAACTTATGGCATGGATAGACTAATGAAACCTGTACAAAAAACAGACAATAAATCAGACTACTAAGACATTCTTAACAGTAAGCATTTAGTCACACAAGAAAACGTCTTCAAAAAAGTAAAAAGAGAACCTCCAAATTGGGAAAAATAGATGACAACAATCTTTATGACAAATGATCACTAAAATTTATAGAAAACTTCAACATCTCAACATGAAAAAGATAAGCCATCCAATTAACACAGAGGCAGAAGATATCAATAGAAGCTTCACCAATGAAGAAATTCAGGTGGCAAACAAAGACATGAAGAAACGTTTATAATCACTAGTCATTAAGCCAAAAGCCACACACACCATCAGAGTTTCTTCCAGCTGATGGCGACCCCAGAGGGCAGAAGGAACTGCTGCTGGGATGTAAATCTTTCTGGAAACAGACGGCCTCGTCTTCCCCCCACAGAGTGGCCCGTGGGTTCCAACTACCAAACTCTCGGTTAACAGTCAATGCTCACGCCACTGTGCTGCAAATCAAAACCATGAGAGTCAACCGGCACCAGAAATAACAGCAAAATTCAATCTGGCAAGGGACAAGGAACTGGCAAACCCTGCTGGTAGAACAGCAAAGTGGCGTAATCACTCTGAAACATGACATGCCACCTGCTTAAAAAGTTGGCAGTAGGAATACCGTTTGCTTCAGCAATCCCCATACTAGCTATGTAGCTTAGAAAAATAAGAGCCGCACAAATAGATGCACACACACCCAGATTCATCATGGAGCACTGGTGCTGGAGTGGATTCTGCACTAGCCTCCTAACCACAAGGTCAGCAGATCTAAACCACCAGCTCTTCTGTGGAGAGAAAGATGAGGCTTTCTGCTCTGAAAGAGTTATAGTCTGGGCAAATCACCTGGGCAGTTCTACCCTGTACTGTGGTCTGTCATGAGTCAGAATCACCTGGGTGGCAAAGAGTATGTTGTCAGTACATTCGTTCATTGCCACATCATACATAATAACAAAGAGAAATAGCCTACGTGCTCATCAATGGATTATGAATCAATAAACTGTGTACATACACACAATAAGATAATACGGAATATTGATGAATCAAAGATACACCTAATAAAATGAGTGAACCTGAAGGACGCACATTATGCTAAGTGAAATAGGTCAATCACAAAAAGGAAAAATATGGAATGAGCCATTATAAAAAAAAGGAATGAAATCAAAGGCTCAAGGAAATGATTAGCCCAAAGGACAAGTGGACCATGGGAACCACAACCTCCACTATGTTGAAAGCAGAAGAATTACTTAGTGCCCAGTGTTACCACTACCAATTGCTCCAACAGAACCACCAAAGGTACTGGACAGAAGGAAAGAAAATATAGCACAACATTTAAAATAACAAGAAAAAGACCTGGTCTCATAGGGACTACTGGAATCCCTGAGACTGTAGCCCTTGGAGACACCCTTCAAACATGGACCTGAACCCACTCCGGGGATCAACCTCAGCCAAACACCAGGCATGTTTATAAAGGAACGATAACACTCATGAGAAGCTGCTCTGGATAACCAACCATAGGAGACCAAAAGGGAAGTATGTGCCAAGCATTAAATTGGGAAGGCAGGAGGGGGCAGAAGGGAAGGGCGAGTGTAAGTGAGAAGCCTAGGAAAGAAGCCGAAGATGGCTATACATCCCATCAAGGGAATTATACATCCCATCAAGGGAATGTCAGCTATTGTCATGAAACAAACTGTATAAACTGCTGCCTAGGCAGCACATGTGTTCTCTAATCTTTTGCCCACAGCCACAATAAAATAATTTTTAAAAAGTAAGTTAAATGTATGAAATAAATCTAAATAAAAATAGTGGTTGATATTGATTTTTGAGGAAGGAAAATACTGTGCTCAGATGAATTTCATAGTCAATGCTTACTAAAGGCATTAAATAGGCACATTTCTAGTGAGGAGTTTCCATTTAATTTAATGAATACACTAAATGAAATATTTTTGTGAAACATGCAAGCATCCTCTAAAACCAAAGATCAGAGTTGATAACAGTTTAGACATGTGGTGCATGTCTGTGTGCCTCTGTATGTTCAACATTCTTTCTTTCTAATCAAGTGACTTGTTCTCATTTGGTTAAGTTTCAACCACAAGACATCATAGCCTGCTTTTATTTTTTTAAGATCCACGTCACGACATGCCAAGAAAAGGGGAACTGCTAGTGTCTGCGGTAACATCACTTGATAAACAGACTCCTTTGAACAGCAGGCGCCTGTTTGCCTTAACTATATAAAGCAGCAAAGACGTGACGAGCAGATATTTGCAGGGTGAGGACGATGCGGGCAGCAGCCTTCTCCACGCCAAGGTCAGATAAAATGCCCGGAATGTTCTTCTCTGCTAACCCAAGGGAGTTGAAGGGGACTGGCCCTTCTCTTCTAGACAGCGCAGCTCAGAAAAAAAGGCCAAAGACTTTGTAAGTTTATTCACTGTGAATTTTAACTTAGATTTGGGAGTTTTGGGTTGTTTATCCTTAGATGCAGAAGGATTGAGAGGACATGAGCATATAGCCATATCAGAGCAATTACCTGCAGTAAGCGATACAGTAATAGTCAGATATATTAAAAACTCTATCATAGTAGAGCATTAAATGGGTGGGGATTTTCCCCCCACAGATTTTGACGCAAAAAAATTGGCTCTACTGGTATCTTATGAGAGCAAAATGTTGTATTAGCTCTTTTTAATACTGTCTTATTCCTTGGAAAAAGTTATTTTGATGCTATTTTTTTTAACAAATAAGACATATTCAGCAGAGATAGTAGAAATATTCACTTTGTGTCTGTTGCAGTGGAATGGATGTGAAAACATACCTGAGATCTTTGATGCCACATCTGGAATCCGGAATAAAATCTTCTAAAGCCAAGAGCATGTATGTATATGAACACCCTGCGTTTTTGTTTCAAGAGCAGCTCATGCATTAACTTCATATCTTCACAAGAGATGAATACTGCACATAGTACATGGGAATTCATTTGCGTTAAGTAACAACCCATCTGAGACTACACTTCATTAGTACCAGTGGAAACTAGACACAGATATATGCATGATTTTTTTCACTGTTGGAATTTATTTATTTGGATGTTTTCAAACTTTTGGGGAAGATTTGTTTTATAAGTCTAGAAATAATAAAATAAATGTTAGTTTTAATGGGTACATGTCAAGAAAAGTGATTAGAATGACAGTCTTCATTTTTGAAACTCTCAGAATACACCAGATGTTATAATTACACTCAAAACTATTTTACTAATTCATGTAAATGTTGTCTTCTGCAGGCTTTGTGCTGATGAAGTAATGCAGTGGTCGCAATCTCTAGAAAAACTTCTTGCAAACCAAAGTAAGTATACATTAGCTATCAAGTATTTGGGGACAATAATCTAATGGCAACATTAAGGAAGAATATTTTGGGTAGAATAGTGTATGAAAAGTTCTTTCTAGTGGATAATGATAGCCTAATCATAATACACCTCGTCATAATGTAGCACTGACTTACGACTCAGTTCTGTTACAGTCTTTTGGTATAATCTGCCACGACAAATATTCCCATAACTTATTATGTGAACAAAATTTTAAAATTATTCTTGTGTTCTAAAGTTCACTGCTTTCAAATGTAGACCAAATATGTCATGATGTAAATTTCCATGCTCAAAATTTCCTACAGAATATATATATGTTTGGATATATAGTCTGTTTAGTTGGATTGAGGAGGACCCATTTCATCAATAGATACATGGCAGGCACCTTAGAGACTCCAAGGATTCAAAAACACAGTGTCCCTTTCTGCCTCCAAGGCAGTTGGGACATGCAAAATAAGTCATTATACTATAAAATGCGAAGTGCATTACACATAATGTGATTTTCTTTGAAGTTTCTAAACAGAGTCCTGTGGGGGTTTTCTGATGAAAGAAGTAACTAAAGAAATCATTTTGCTAAATCGTCGTCGTGGGAATTGCACTCTACTGTGCCAGTTCATACCTGGTTGTTCAGAGGTGCTGACAAGCAAGTTGGGCTGTCACTAGAGGGTAAATTTATTCTCTCCCTCCACAGGCTCCTTAAAAAGTCTTGCTTGGAAATTATTTAGCTCAACCCAGTTCAGCCATATTATTATCAGATTCAGGTTACAATTCAGCCAAATACATAAACTATGTAGAAACTTCCCTTTTAAAAGTTTTAATATGTTAGCAAATATATTCAGTATATCACACAAATAGATAGATGAAAGGGCTTATGTTTTCTCACTGATATGACTAGAATGGAGAAATTATAATCGTTAATTATTAACATGATGTTAAAGCCCTTAACATGATGTTAATGCTCCCCAACCCCCAGCATGCCACACTCTGAAACTTGGTATGAAAAAGAAAAGAGATTGTTATATAATCAGCAAAGAAACAGTCTAATTTAAATAGCACCTGGGAGCAAAACACAATGTGCCTCTGGAAAAGTTCATCTAGCTGCAAATTCCTCTCCTTAAAAGAAGGGGCAGGCTAGCGTCTTCTTCCCTTCCCTACAAATAAGGAAACACCTTTCTGGCAGTGTCATTTGAGCTATCATTGTATAGGAAAAGTAAGAGTTTTTCTTCTAAATCACACCTTCAAGTTATTGATTTCTTAGCTCAATTAATTATCTCTTCCTCCTTTTGATTTTAGCTGGCCAAGTTGTCTTTGGAAAATTCCTGAAGTCTGAATTTAGTGAGGAGAATATTGAATTCTGGCTGGCTTGTGAAGACTATAGGAAAACAGAGTCTGATCTTTTGCATTGTAAAGCAGAGAAAATATATAAAGCATTTGTTCATGTCGATGCTACGAAACAAGTGAGTATAAGTTCTTTCTTACTGGTTTAGGCATAAAGGAAGGAAGTTAGGTATAAAGGAAGTTATATACAGAAACAAAATGAAATCATTTTTAGACAACCCACTTTCACTACTGTTTATGTAGGCAGACTATTACAATTCAATGTGATAGTCTAATTTTCTATATTTATGAAGATCATATCAAATGAATAGGGATGAAAATGGAAATTAATGGTTTTGCAAAAGTAGCAAGCCCTGTGGGGGTGGGGAAAGGGCTAGGAGCTCTGCTGGCCTGAACTCGATGACAAGTGTTCTTCCTGAGATATTCTCCTGGGATAAGGATAAAACGCAGGTTCGTGTAAACACAAGGGAGCTTCAAAAAGATTGTGGGGAAAATGCCATCCTCTTTTAATTATGCTGTTCTACAAATGTTTGAAGCCCCCTCAAATGTCCTGTTGCAGCAGCAAAGGATATTTCCATATAGTAGTACCCACCGCCTAGTTCAATGTTTCTTGTCCAAATAGAAAACAGCTGTGTAAAAAGCCCCACCTCCTGTAAAGTTTAGATGTCTACGTGACTATTCTTGACACACATACTGCCTTGTGTGGGCTTGTCAGCTTTGCACGTGTGCCTTTTTTGCATCTCCCGACGAGCTAACTTAGAGCAAAGACAATTCGATGTGATATCCAAGAGATATTTGAATGAGAGCTTAAAACCATTTCCTTGTACTGCCAATAGCATAGCTTAATGTTGCAATAGCACGGTCACATTATAAAACCTATAATAAATGGAAAGTGTATGTTAATGCTTACAATTCCTTTACAGATCAACATTGACTTTCATACTCGAGAAACTACAGCCAAGAAGATTAAAGCACCAACCTCCACTTGTTTTGATGAAGCCCAAAAACTCATATACACTCTTATGGAAAAAGATTCCTACCCCAGGTTCCTCAAATCAGATATTTACTTAAACCTTCTAAATGACCTTCAGGCAAATAGACTGAAGTGACAGGTTTCTGGCTGGAGGGTCTTAAAGATGGTGTCAAGTTCAGAGGAGTGGGCCCATGTGGCTCCCTGGAGAAAGAGCTTTGCCTTTGGGGTGACCGGACAGGGCCAGGGTAAGAACGAAGGACTCAACCAGGATTAACTTGCAAGTGATCCACGCACAGCATTGCAGAAGCATGTGCAAGTTGTTAACGAGAGACTTCAGAAGGAAGGGCATGTGGTGGTACTGTCAATAGGTACAGTAGCTCTGCATATTGGACAATGCCTCCGAACTGAGAAGACCGGGAACTCTAGTAACACAGCAATTGTGAATAAAATTATGAAACTGATTAAAATATGGTATAAGCTTCATGGTCAACTGACATTCATGCTGCATATCACTATGTCTAGGTTGTGTATTGAGCTGCTGAGATCCTTTACCTTGGATGACTATTTGAAAAGTATGTTTATCAAAATCATCATAGCTATTCTTGTCCTAAGAGTTGTTAGTATTTTTATTGTTATTGTTTATTTGATTGTATTTTAGAGGGGAGGAGGGTGCTTGGAAGAAATGAAGTAAAATGTGGTTAACTTAAACCAGTGCTCTTACAACTGGGAGAGCAGATTATAATTGTAAATTAAATTATCACCATGTCAATAATAAATGTGTTTTATATTACAGTGTGTAGAAACTATTCTACTTATATTTCCTTGTCATTTTAAGAACTGTCATTTACCTCTCAGATTTATAAAAGCAAAAACTTTAAGTAGGGGTCTGAAACTTTCTACCATTTCTTCAACATGTACAATACTATCATCGAATTCATATTGCATTTTATGTAGTAAGCTACACAGAATTCATTAGTTTGTTCTGTGCTATCACAGTGTGTAAAAATCAAACAAATATATTTTCATGTAATCAAATTTCAAACAAAAGAAAAACTAATGGCATCTTTAAAAGTTAGAAAAAATGTTCATGAATTAATCTAGCAACTGATATTTACTTATTATTTAAAGTTTATAAAACTCAGATGTATATTGACATTAATGCTCACAGGATTCTGATGAAAGCTGAGACTAAGAAAAATGAAGCTGTTTGTTCCCTGATTTAGTAATCCAAATTACCTAGGATATTCACAAAAGATGCAAACATCCATGTCTGGGCCCCTACCAGATTGCATACACAAGAATCTCCGAGGCGGAGGGTGTGGGGCTCTACCTCTGAAAAGGAGACCACAGGTGGTTCCGCTGGCAGCTTCATCTTCAAAGTGTGAGAGCCCCAAGAGTCAGCGGTAGTCCAACTACACAGCTTCTGCTCTTTTCCCTTTGTGACACTGCCACCCACTGACTGAAGGTATTTTCTTAATTACTCAAGTCAGTTGTAGCTCCAAGTGTCACCTCAGTAACAAAATAAAAACAATCGGTTGTTGATAAGTCACAGGGGGTAATGTACAGGAGGCAGAAACAGGGATCAAGGTCAGGCATATACTTATACAGTCTGTATCTTTTCATGCAACCAACTCCAGATACGTATTCAGTAATCAGTCATTCACAAGCCATAATGGATACTATGTGCATTCTCATTATTCGCTTGCCCAGTCATCAGACATAAACTTATCTACATTATGCTTTATTCCACACTGTCAAAGTTCATATTTCAAGATACATTTTAACAGGGAGTGGAGTATAATATTAGTAATAAAAGTGTCAGGTATCTTTTAATGCCGTCATCAAATTCAGTCAAGCCGTCTTGTATAACCACTTGCTCTTGTCTATTAGACTTGCCCTAGTTTAGGCTCTCATTACTTCAGAATGCACCCCATTTGGTCCCCCTCTTTTGAGCCTTTCCCTAGATCTATCCTCTGAATGAACAGAAGCATGATCTTCTGAAACAAAGATCTGGCTTTGTCATCTCCCGTGATATGCAGAAATATAACCCAAATTCTCTTTCTGGTACAGAAGCTCTCTCCCAATGTGATCTCTGGAGTTTAGTTCTCATCACTCCTGCCTGAGTAGCTTATTTGGACATCAAACTAGGTTATCTATCTTTTCCAGAGCAAGCCCTAACCTTTACTATATTTCTAGGCCTTTGATTAGTTCTGGTGGTGTACCGATTTTACATTGGGCTATGAACCATAAGGTCAGCAGTTTGAAATCACCAGCCCCTCTGTGGGAGAAAGATGGTTGGAGGTTCTACTCCCATCTAGTGCTCAATCTCAAGAACTCGTAGACAGTTCTACCCTGTGCTGTAGGGTTACTATGACTTGACATTGACTCAGTGGTGGCGAGGGTCTTTGTTTATTTGAGTTTTACCTAAAATACACGGACTTTTCTCACCCTCTTGTCATTTTCAAAGTCCAACCAATTCTCTAAGGCCCACATAAAATAGCTTTCACATAAAGCCTTTATATCTTCTCACACCATTATTCAGCTATGTTCAATATCTATTGGAGGTAAACTGTAGTCCACATAAACATAGGACACCCTGCCCCTATTTTTAGAATTATTGTCACATTCAATAGCCCAGACTCCTACAACTTGTGAGAATCAAGATATGCAACTGCCCAGCACACATACTGGCTGTCAAGTGAGCACGGCTGGTGCTTGGCTCCTTCGATGTCCTGTTAAAGAGCCACTCGATTTTTTGAACAGATAGTTAAAACAAATGACTGAGACACCTCTTGGTTTTTGAGAACAAAGAATAATGTAAACTTGGTTGCATAGAGTCAAACACTTGAAAATAGCATCCCCCCTTTTTTTTTCAAGAACATTTCTTGTATATTCTGTGACCATACACAGAAATGTGATTAGCTCTTGTGACACCTACTGTTTGATTAAATCGTACCCAACAGCTCACTCTGAGATTCCCAGTACACAAATTATTCTGCTTTGACACTAAAGTCGAAGCAATCAGCAAAGCATGCAATGAAAAACCCATCCATTAAGTAAAATAGAAACAAATTCAATTTTTTTCAAAATTAGTTGGCATTATTTCCATCAGGCACACTCCATAAAAATATAAATATATGAAGGTAAAAAGAAAGAAAAAATATATCTCTAAAGTGTCTCATGAAAATATATACATTTATCCATTTAGCCGACATGGAAAAATGGAACTTTAGGTTTTTGTGTCCCTTTGCAAATAAAGTCTAGATTATAAGAAAAAAATCTTTGATGCTTGGTTGTCAATCATAAGAAAATCTGATATCTTGAGAACAAAATGTTTTTATTAAAATAAAAAGAATTATATAATTTCTTCAAGACTGAAATAAAACCATATTATAGAACAACATTATCAACAACAAAATCAACTATAAAAACAAATCCATCTTTTTTGTTCAAATCAATATCTTTTTTTTAATCATTTTATTAGGAGCTCATACAACTCTTATCACAATCCATACACACATCAATTGTGTAAAGCGCATTTGTACATTCATTGCCCTCATCATTCTCAAAACATTTCCTCTCCACTTAAGCCCCCGGCATTAGGTCCTCATTTTCCCCTCCCTCCCCGCTCCCCCCTCCCTCATGAGCCCTTGATAATTTATAAATTGTTATTTTGTCATATCTTGCCCTGTCCGACGTCTCCCTTCACCCACTTTTCTGTTGTCCGTCCACCAGGGAGGAGGTCACATATAGATCCTTGTAATCGGTTCCCTCTTTCCAACCCACTCTCCCTCTACCCTCCCAGTATCACCACTCACATCACTGGTCCTGAAGGGCTCATCCGCCCTGGATTCCCTGTATCTCCAGTTCCTATCTGTACCAGTGTACATCCTCTGGTCTACTACACTTGCAAGGTCGAATTCATATGATAGTGGGAGCGGGGAGGAAACATTTAGGAACTAGAGGAAAGTTGTTCAAATCAATATCTTATAAACTAAAAAATTGATCAACTCAATGGCAAAATTGTGAATCTTACTCCATACCTAACCTAAATGAAACTTTCCTATAAATAAGTCCGTGGAAAATAGAAAACCTTTATGGATATTCCATTCGGTACTTACTTACCAACAGCTTTTGTACAATCAGTTTGAAGAGAAAACCAAAAATAAAGGAGTGAACCTTTGAAAAGGAAGATAATCTTAAAAAGGAGTGGGAGGAGAAAAAGCAGAAGGCAAGGGTTAAAGGAACGAAAACAGAGTTGATTAGCTATTACATTTCACCTCACCTGAGACCTCGCTGAATAGCTTGAAGACTTGAATTGCCACACCTGTTTTTACTTTCCAAATGGAAAGTTTTACATCAGTAAGAAACAGGCTATGATTTCCAATGGTTTGCACAACTTTGCTTTAAGGATGCCATAGTTAATGCAAGACTAGAACTTTAATCTAATCCCAAAAGAACCCAAATTATAAAACCAATGTGACCATGCCTTGATATCGAATGTTGCCATTGGGGAGGATATATGCAGTAGGCTTGATAATTGAAAAGGGAGTTAAGCTTGTAGGGTCACAGAGAGCTGTTTGTTTAAATAAAAGAAATGGTGCTTTGTAAGCAAATATTTTTCATTTAGAAAATCACACGGGCTATGTCAATTACACTTCAGGAATTCCTGTTCACCTCCTTTGTCCCCTCCCTCCTGTCAAACTGACAAGCACTCTCAAAAGGCCTACAAGGCACCCATCTGAACATGCACTTCAAAGGGTGATGGGAGCATCAAACGATGACTTGTGTCTCCCGAGAGAAAAGCTAACTTCCTCACTTGTCAGATAAAGAATCTGAAACTTTCGAATAGTGATGCATGACAATGGACATGATTTATTTATCCTTAAAAAAAAAAATCTCTGTTACCTTAGTATGTATTTTTCTCTTGTCATAGAATTGGCCGGATTGTTCTTGACATTTTTCATAGGGGAGTGTCTCGAGAAATAAATCAAACCCAACCAGGACAGAAAGAGGGTGATAATATTCTGAATATAAGGAAAATTTTTTCTTAAAGAATCAGGAAATAATCATGTGATTAAAAATAGTGCTTTATATGTAGATCATTGTGATCAGTTCCCCCTTCCTCCCCCACCTTCCCCTTCCCCTCCAGGTATCTCTACTCTCATTATTGGCCCTGGATTCCCTGTGTTTCCAGCTCTTATCTGTACCAGTGTACATCCTCTGGTCTACATAAAACCCCCTCCCTGGAGGATGGACAACAGAAAAGTGGGTGAGGGAGACATCGGACAGTGTAAGACATGACAAAATAATAATAATTTCTAAATTATCAAGGGTTGATGAGGGAGGGGGGAGGGAGAGGGAGGGGGGAAATGAGGAGCTGATACCAAGGGCTCAAATAGAAAGAAAATGTTTTGAGAATGATGATGGCAACAAATGTACAAATGTGCTTGACACAATGGATGGATGTAGGATTGTGGTAAGAGATGTATGAGCCCCCCAAAAAATTATTTTAAAAGAGTAGCCAAAGGGACCTTCAAATACCAAAGGCGGGGGGAATCATATCATCGTGAATGAGGGTAGTGCGTGATGGGGACCCAATGCCTGTCTGTAGACAACTGGACATATATTGCAGAGGGGTAGTGGAGAGGAGATGAGTCACTTAGGATTCAGTATAGCAATAATGAAACCCACAACCTTCCTCTAGTTCTTAAACGCTTTCTCCCCCCAACTACCATGATCCCAATTCTACCTTGCAAACCTGGTTAGAC